ACACAAGCTACCATTCAATTCACATTTGATTTGATTTGATTTGATTTGATTTTACTTTCAGAATTCTTGTTTAAGATCTTTCATAGAAAATTGGATAAAAAAGTGTATATATAGCTAGTATCAAAATGTGCCAAAAGCAGCAGTGATGATGGTTGATATTTTTAATTTATTAATTTTTTTATCACATTTGTTTTAGCTTAATTTTATTTTTTTATTTTCAGAAGGCTGCTAGATAGTGTTGATGAAAAAAAAAAAAGACGAAAAACATATCATATTTTTTTTATTGAAAAAAATATCTTTTTTAATATAAACTTCATTGAGAGAAACTGAAATTTATCCTTTAAAATGAAATTCAAATTTAACCTCTTGCATTTGGTTCTACATTCAAAGAATTTTAAATAGTTGGCACCCTGTTATTGCACCCAACAGTGATCAGTCACAACCTTATAGACAGGTTGATGACTGCACGTTGTGATATATTAATTATTAGACTTGCCCGCCGGCAACATCTGGTATTGGGCTAAGTTTTTACAAATATGAATTATTGACTCCTATGATTTTAAAAATAATCCTAACCATAAAAAAAAAAAAAATCATCATCATCACCTAAAGTGATTTTTATCACTTTGTCCAATTATTTATATTTCGATCTTCTAAGTTATTAGTTTATATAAAACAGTTCCTAATATTAATTAGTATTACAAATAGATTCCTAGACTTTTTTTTACTGGGTTTAGGTTTATTTTTACATTGTTTTCTCAAAATAATTTTTCCCATGATTAATGTTATTTTTTTCATTTATTTTTGTAAAGGCTCATTAACTAAATTTAAAAATTCTTATAATATAAATAGATTAAACACCTTCTTTTAATTTGATTTTTTTTAAAAAATAATTAATTGCATTTTTTTCTTTATCAAAATAAAAAATATTGCTAAGATAAATTTAAACTCAATAAATTTTACAATTAGTGTTAATTAATTTTTATTTTATGTTTATATTTTTTTAATTATTTAAAATATTAAAACGTAGTATATAATAGATTTATCAGCAACAACAATCAGATATTGGGCTATTTTTTTACAAATATGAATTATTGACTCCTATAATTATAAAAATAGCCCTAACCATAAAAAAATAAAAAATCATCATGACCTAAAATCATCAAGCACTCATCCTTAACCAAACGATCAATTGCAGATATCTTAATTATTTCGAGTCTCATTCTCAATCAACATCAAATTTTAAAAAAATTAACATCTAAGTCAAAAAATTAAATCGACACATTCTCCCATTTTTCTTTATCCTCAAACTCTCAATTAAAATCAAATCCACACATCTAAGGGTTAATTCTTCAGACAAACAATTTTGACTAATCATAGTAGCAACTTCCCTTGTACGAACTTGTCCCTTAGTTATTGCATCCAACAATTAGTCAAGACCTTACCTCTGCGTTGGTCCCCTGGTTAACTAAGAAGTAGGTAGCACCATTTATGGTAGTCATATAGGTTAAATTAAAGGACAGTTTTTTTTTTTTTCACTTATACACTCAAAGCTTCTAACAGATTTAATCTGTTATGTTTTCTCAATTTCGCTTAAAATGGTTGATTGATTTCAATTAATTTTTATTCCAATCAACCCCCACAGCTATCATTTTTATTCCAATTAGCTTCCACACTTTTATTCAAATTTCCCCCTTCTACCCATTTTTATTAGGTATACAAATTTCAATTTCATCCTTGAATTTTATAAAATATCCCAACCCCATTCAAAAAGTAAGTAAATGAATAAACTAATTTAAATAAACAGAAAAAGAGAGAAAGAGAGAGAGAAACAACAATATATTTTTTCTTAAAAAAGATATGATAAATGAAACATTATCATTTTCTTTGTCATTACCATAGTTAAATGACAATCAAGATCAAATTATTTAACTCTCTCTCTCTATTTTTTATCAAAACTTTGAATTTTGATCCCTCTCAGCTATCAATTATCATGCATTCTCTTTTCTTTGATGTTGTCATCAAACAACACTTTGATATATGCAAACAATCATGCTCTAGACGATGTCAACGTTATCTTATACGCAAACTAACATTTAATTCACATGAGATTATATTTTATTTTATTTTCAGAATTCTTGTTTAAGATTTCTCATAGAAAATTGTATAAGTAAGTGTATATATGGCTAGTATTAGAATGTATGAAAGACAGCGATAGTGGAGGTTCATATTTTTTACTAAAAAATATTTTTTTATCACATTTTTTTTAATTAGTTTAATTTTATTATTGTATTGTCAAAAAACAGCTAGATAGTGTTGACGAAAAAAAAAAACTTATCATATTTGTTTATTGAAAAAACTATCTTCTTTAATATTAGATTTGTTCAATTTCATCAATTTTTTTATCCTTACCTTTTGAGTTATATAGAGATATTCCACAAATTTTATTTAAAAAATTGAAATTTACGCAAAAATGGAATAAAAATAAAAGATACAAAATCTAAGTGAAACAAATAAAATTTATATATATATATATATATATTGAGAAAACACATAAACTTCATAGAGAGAAACTGAAATTTATCATTTAAAATAAAATTCACATTTAACCTCTTGCATTTGGTTCTACATTCAAAGAATTTTAAATAATTGGCACCGTGTTATTGCACTCAACAATCATCACTCACAATCTTATAATCGATACTTAAGATAGGTTGATGACTACACCTACATGTGCCATTAATATGATTGATGACTTTTGATATTGATACGTCCCTTAGAGGATTGACAAATCTCACTCAGAAGACCCTTAGAGGGTCGAGGAATCAGAAATGTTCCTTGCTCGTTGGCCTATGATCAAAGGATTAACACATATTCTTTACGTACCAAAAAACAAACAACACACTCATCCTTAACCAAACAATCAATCCTTCGATGTTGTACTATATTACTATATACTAAACCTGAATATTATTTTATTATAGCCAAGCCCTGTTACAACGAACCCAAAATGATACTGTTTTTTTATTAATTTATCTGATTTTCACACTTTGATTTTCTAAATTATTAATTTATATAAAATAATCTCTAATGTTAATTAATATTACATACATGTCCCTAGACTTCTTTTTACTGGGTTTAGGTTTATTTTTTCATTATTTATTATACTCAAAATAATTTTTTTCCATAACTAATGGCTACTTTTTTATTTATTTTTGTAAAGACTCATTAACTAAATTTAAACATTCTTATAATATAAATTGATTAAGTACCTCCTTCTAATTTTATTTTTTAAATAATTAATTAATTTCATGATTTTTTTCTTTATAAAAATAAAAAATATTCCTAAGATATATTTAAACTCAATCATATATATATATATTGCATAACATATATTAAATTAAGTTTTTTTTTTTACAATTAGTGTTAATTAATTTTTATTTTATGCTTATATTTTTTTTAATTATTTAAAATATTAAAACATAGTATATAATAGATTTATTCGCCGGCGACATGCAAGTATTGGACTAGTTTTTTACAAATATGAATTATTGACTCCTATGATTTTAAAAATAACCCTAACCATTTAAAAAAAAAAATCATCATCATCACCTAGGATCATCAAGCACTCATCCTTAACCAAACGATCAATTGCAAATATCTTAATTATTTCAAGTCTCATTCTCAATCAACATCAAATTAAAGAAAATTAACATCTAAGTCAAAAAATTAAATTGACACATTCTCCCATTTTTCTTTATCCTCAAATTCACAATTAAAATCAAATCCACACCTTTAACGGTTCTTCAGACAAACAATTTGGACTAATCATATTAGTCCTTGTAAGAACTTGTCCCTTAGTTATTGCATCCAACAATCAGTCAAGACCTTGCCTCTGTATTTGGGGTCCCCTTGTTAATTAAGAGTAGTTAGCACCATTTATGGTAGTCATATGGGTCAAGTAAACGATAGCTAGGTTGATCGATGCATGCATGGTGACACAATAAGCATAAAGTTAATATTGTACGATTGCTTGAAAACTTGAAAACAACTACTCCATTTATATTCTTCATTCATATGATTGACTTGGGATTGTGATAATTTTATCATTGTTAGACATTTCATGCATCCATGAAATTCCACCTTTTTAAAGAGTAAATCACATGTTAGTTTTTCTAGTTTTGAAAAAAGAATTAACTAGTTTTCTTGTTTCAAAATCCAATTATTTAGTTTTTATATTTTTAAATTTTCTTATAACTTGAACCACTTTGTTCCTTTTCAATTTATTTTAATTTTTTTTTAAATATAAAATAATAAAATAATATTAAATTAAATATAGTCAATATAGTTTAAAGAACTAAATAATTATTTTTTGAAATAAAAAAGACTACTTAATTCTTTTTTCAAAAATAAAGAAACTAATTTATGATTTACTCGCCTTTTTAAAGACAGATTATCAAGATATTAAAAACAAATGAGCTAGGTCAAGAGAATTAGAATTGTACTCAATTAATAAATCAATTATATCCCATTAGAGCAATGCATAGAATATCAAACTAAAGGCAATATAAGGCATAAACTTGTTGGCCTAATTATGATTAAACTACATCCTATAGTTTTCTAACTTAGTTTCTTTCCAAAAGTATTTTCGATTCTCAAAAAAAAAAAAAAAAAAAGAGATCTTGAAAATTTCTTCTGTTGTATTCCCCCTCCTTTTTTTTTTAATTGGATCAGGTCCATCTAATCTCAACCATAATACATGACATCTTAGGTATAAGTCTCACAGTTCTCCTACAGAGAATTATAAAACCTCAAGCATAACAAAATCAGACATGAAACATAAATTGAAAATTTTATATTTACCACTTGGGTTTCTGATCTTAGAAATAGCTAGAGATTTCAACTCATAGATGCTTGTCTACTTTTCATCAATCATATAAAGCTTGACAAACTAGATTTTATTATAACATGAGCTTTAAAATCTATAGCTGAAAGAGTACTTAATCATCGAGTAGCTGACAATCAATTCTTTGGAGATAAATCTTCTTTTCTTGGAGGTCGAAAGCCACATTATAATATGGTTGAGCCATTACTCCAATCACGGATGGTTCTCCATTTCCTGACGGTTGCATGGATAGGCAGAATACATTTGGTTCAACTGGAAAAAATAAGCTTTCAGAATCTGACACTAGATCAGCTCCATTAGCTAAATGAAACGTCAGGACAGGAAATCCTTGAACGTCTCGGCTTGCGATTCCCTCATAACACAACATCCATGGATCCTCTGTATACACATGTTGTCTGAACTTTCCATCCAAGAGATATGAAACTCTTTTCCTGACTAGGTTGTACACCTGTTCAGGTAGAGAGCTGAGTGTTGTTCCTGATCAGTCGAAGAGCACCAGGGCATCACTGTCCGATTTCTTCTCGAAAGCATTAGGATCTATGCCGAGTCTTGCTTCATCAGAACTTATGTCTTCAAGCGTTACGTAATAATGGAGTCCTGCTTCTAAAGGGGTTGAATAACCTTCGAAAATCACCCCATCACCTATGGTCAATCGATTGAAATTGTACGAAGGATCATTTACTTTGTCGATGCAATAAGAAAATCTGTTGCCTAGTTTCTTTACTATCGATCCATTCAGGAAATTTCCTAATCCAAATATTCCATCCCATTTTTCACTATTACTCTCCCCATTTCTGAAACCGCACCCAAAAACCACATCAAAGATCATTATTGTGTCGTCATCAGGTGTCTCAAATTATAGGTGTTCAGGTGTTCTAAAGCAATATTCCCTTCTGACGTAGTATAGTCACCATAGGACATAAAATACGTGCAACTGCCAGGAATGTCAGGATTGCATCGAGAGATATATCGATGATCACATGAATCATGCGAGCATGGTAAACTAAGATACATTGAGGAGTTGAAGGGATCAAATCTTGAACTTCTTTGTGTGAAGCAATCTTTGCAGCCTTCGCATTGAACCCATACGAGACCACTGCCAGTATCCATCGCAGCTAGTTTTTGAACTGGCAGCTCTCCAATAGAGAATTTCACAAGAAATAACCTGTTGTCAGCTATGAGATTGCTTTGAGCATCATCATTCTTAGTGTAGACTAATGGAGGCGTAGTAGAGTAACGATGAATCAATTTGGTAACTAATTTATGAGGTTTTGCATTTGTTGCTATGCAGGGTAAGGTCAAAAGGACTGTGAAGGTTACGAAAAACATTGGCTGAAAGGTCATGGCCATGATTTCTTTGAAAGCAAGTTATAAAGAGAAAAATAGTATGCTCTGTGATGGTATTGTGATCCACAGGTAACAGGAATAACGCATAGAATTTGAGTCCGTTCTCACACCAAGAACATGCACGAGAAAGCAAGAGTGGCAGGTGAACCAAAACTGAACAAGATAAATTGAACAGGGAGTGCAAAATTTGCTTCAAATTTTCAAGTTTTGCAGAAGGAGTTGAAGGGAGAAGCACGAAGCATGGTTGAAGTTGTCGAGCATTGCAGAGGAAGTGTAGATAAATATTAGCAATTAAATAGATGGCAGCCAGTTTCTGTTACTGAGCCACATTGTAATATTGTTGGGCAATTACTCCAATTATGGACGGACCTCTAATTTCGGACCGATCAATATTCCTGTCATCTTTAGGTATAATCATTGGTTCTATTGCTAGGCAAAACACATGCGACCATCTTTGATGAAATAAGCTTCCAGCATCTAACACCAGATCAGCTCCATTAGCTAAATGATAAGTCAAGACTGGAAATCCTTAAACATCTCGGCTTGCAATCCCATGATAACATGATGGCCATAGTTCCCTCATATGTATGTATGCATATGCTAAGCTTCCATCTAAGAGAATTGAAACTTTCTCCTTAACTAGTTTATTCACATCGTCAGGTAGAGTGCTGAGGGTTGATCCTGTGTCTAAGACCACCCCCACCACCACCCTGCATTGTCCACTCAAAAGCATTAGAACTAATGTTGAGTCTTTCTGCCCCAAGACTTACAGCTTCAATGGTTGAGGACTTCAAGGGATCAAATCTTGGACTTCTCTGTTGAGTGCAATCTTTGCAGCCTTCGCATTGAATCCATATGAAATGACTACCAGTATCCATGGTAGCAAATTGTGTAATAGGTGGTTATCCAATAGAAAATTGCACAAGAAATAATCGGTCGGCGATAAGATTGCTTCGCGCATCAGCTTTGGAGTCATCGAATGGAGGCGAAATAGAGTGACGATGAATCAATTAGGTAAATAAGAAGAACAGGATAAATATGAGAAAATTTGAGGCCATTTCACATCAATATCATGCACAAGAAGAAAGATAGGCAGCTGAACCAATATTCAACAAGGTGATTGAAGGGAGAGAGCAAAAAACATGCTTAAAGTTTTTTAGTGTTGCAGATCAATGTCAGCAATTAAAGAGGTTGTAGGTGACAATCAGATTGGCTTTTAACAGCTTCTCATTTGGATCAAGAATGTCACAAACTGCACTTGATTCTTAGATATTAGATCAAATTATTTCTTAACTTGTAGGATGAAGAACACAAACAAATTTATTTCAAGCGGGGTGCTTCTTAAGTTAAACAATTTCAGTAAAGGATTGAAATTCTATAACAGGACTTCAACTCATGCAGGATTTTAATCAAAACCAGGTTACATGTTTCAAACTTAATTCAGTTAATTCAATTTCAAACTAAACCACAGTAGAAGAGCTCTAGAGAACATTCCACCCTTAACAAGAAAATAACAACTGTCCTTGCTTGCCATAAACTTTTCTTTTTCCTTTTCTAAACAAGACAGCCTAGCAAACCACCAGCCATAGTTGACAGAAAGCCTTTCACTAGAATAACCAATGAGCACTGCTAGAAAACACAAACACATATATATAATATATATATGTAGAGAGTAAACTTACATGGAGATGTTGGACAAACAAACTAGTAGAAAAGAATTAATTTGTTCTGGCTATGGAATATTTCAATGAGTGGATTTTCCTTTCTCTGCTGTGTTATAAAAACCACAATATTTTGGACATTCAACCTGGGAATACCAACACCGAAAAAACCATTAAAGCTGCTATATATGCTGAAGATGATAACTAACAAAGACGGTAAAAGGTATGCCTTAACCATAGACAAGGCTCTAAACATCCAGGACCAGTACCCAAAATTTTAGCTAGGTAGCATTTGATGCACACCGAAAATGAGCTTACTGGATTTATACATTTAATTTTTTCACTACTAATTGCTGCCTAGCTATCAAATTCGTCAGGTGGACTATCCATACCAAAAATGTCTCTCAAATGCAATCTTAATTTAAGAGCTTAGTCTGACACTTGTTTATAAAAGCAACTCATTCACCAGAAACAACTTACACTGTAAAAATTTATCATGTGGATGAAACTCAGCAGCTGCTTCCTCAAGAACACGGTCAAGGTGTTTGGTGTAATTGCCTCTGCATTATCGAAAATGAATAGTCGGAGATACAACATAACATTATGACGATGATGATTAGGGGAACACAACAAAACCCAAGTCAAACACAGAAAAGATAAATTTCAAAATTCACTGGTAATCCAACATTATTATATCAGCTTAATTAGCAGATAGTATGATTCTTCTTAAAAATAAAAATTCGTACTCCATACATAATGTTTTGAAAGAAACTAAGAACTTTTTAGATGAATTTCTAAACATTTAAAAGACAAATTACGTAAGATGATCACTCCTTGAGAACAAAAGCAATTTTTCACAACAAAATTGTGCCACAAGGAGTAAGAGTTATACAATCTTACTTGCATGTTTCTGTAGATCACCAATCGTTGCGTCCAAAATTGAAAAAAAAAAAAAAATCTCCTCAATTTGATAAGATATTTCAATTATGCTGCACTAATTATATGTCTCTTAATCCAGAGAGAAAATAAAGACAGCCCAGTATTTATCTACTCAAGATTTTCATTCAACTAAAGGACCATGTAATTTTACAAGGAAAAAAATAACTCAGAATTCTTTGTGACTTTTTAACAACGTATTGTGTTAAAAATATTCTTTGGAGCATCCTGTCGAACAAATATCGTTAAGTACCAAAAACTAAAACTGTGCACTATTTCATCATATATGGACATACACATAATTATATTAATAAAAATACTTAAAAATACATAAAATTATTAGAAATAATAAAAAAAATATATTATAAGTTTAAAATATTTATGCATATAATATGTCACAAAAAATGTTTTTTTTTTTTTTAAGTATAAGAAGTGGCATTATAGTACACAACAAGTTATATTATTCAACAATTATATATATTATATCACATAAATTGTATTATAGAGAAGGGATATTGTGGGGGAAAAGTTATTTTCAAAAAAAAAAAAAAAAACCAGAAAATATTCGATAGTGCCATTTTAAAAAGTTAATAATAAAAAAATATTATTTTTCAGTTTATTTGTTATGACATGGCTAAACATCAAAAAATGATTTCCAATTTAGTTTCTATTACATAACAAAACGGAAAATAATTAACTTTATCGAAAATAGTTTCGCTTATAATTTCCTCTGCCAAACAAACGAAGAGACAAATATCTTGTAGCATGTAATTCCTGAATTGGGATGTCCGAAATCCCCGTTTAACTAAGAAAAACTTGGGAGTAGGAGAGGGAGAAATTTTATAATACACTAGGATTAACTAAGTAGTATATATAATAGTTACGTCATAAGCCCACTTTGAGGAGAGAGATAAATACACAAAAAAATAATAAAATTACATATATATCCATTAAAAGTGATAAGAAGATTTTCACGCTCTGCTCAAATTTTTTTATTCTCTCTCTCCTATTTCACTCTTTTTTGTGTCTATCTCTCTCTTCAAAGTAGGCCTACTGAAATAACTATTATACATATCACTACTTACTCTTTGTGTATTATAAAATTATTGGTAGAAGAGGAACGGGGCGGAGACGTCCAAAATAACGAAAAAGATTAGATCCCCTATATTCAACTTAAAAGTGGGCTGAGCATAGAAGTTTGGCGAAAGCAACTATTGCTTGGACCACCATTGAGAAGATAGGGTCATAACTCACAGGCAAGCCCATTTAACGGTGGCTTTACCAAAACGAGTTGGTACGTATTATATTGCAAATCCTTTAAAAATCAATCAAAGTTTCTAGCTTTAGTTTATAATTAAATTAAATTTTATTTATGAGAATATGATAGTAATGATAGTTAATTACTGTTGTTAAGAACATGTAAAATTAATATGTTAAGCCGCTAAGTGTTAAATAATATCTCTTTAATTTGATATAAGTTATTTGGTTAGTGTATTCCTTTTGAAATACATAATATACATAGTTTTATATAACAAATAATAAGCACATAATGCAGTACTATATACATAATTTTTAAATATAAAAGAGACCTTGAAAGATTTTTACGTATAATCACTAACACTTTATTAATTAGTGTACATATAACTAGTGATATTTAATAACATGATTTCATATTTTTAAATCACATATAATATTTATATTTTAAATGTGATTTAGAAAAATAAGATTATTGAGTATATAAGATTCTTTGCACGATTGTTTAGGCTGTGAGTTTGTAAAGTGGTACAAGAAATTTTAGAAGATATATATATATAGAGAGATCGAGGTTGAGTTGTGAGAGAGAGAGAGAAAGAGAATTTTTTTTTAAAAAAATTAATTTAGGTCAAAATATTTTTATAATTTTTGATGAATGTGGGTGATTATAAATATGTATTACGTTCAAAAGCATATATATATATATATATATATATATATATATATATATATATATATATATATATATATATATTTCATCAAACTAAGTATATAGAGTAAATAACTAAATATTATTAGTTACTCCATCAATATTTTAAAATTTCTGGCATTATAACATCATTCTCTTATGAACTTCTTTATAAACTAAGCATTAGCCAATCTGATCAAAATGCATATTATTTTTCTCTCTCGCACCAGCTTCAAACTCTTGACCTGTGCATATGCTTTTTGAAAGTAATCATAAGAAGCCACAATGCATATTAACAGTGTTAGTAACACAATTTAAAATTTATTTTTTAAAAATAATATAAATTTCATTAAATCGCAATTAAAAAAGGTTTCTATCTCTGGATCAAAAGCTGATCAAGAAACAAAATGATTCTCCATATAGAAAATGAAATGGGCTTACAGCTATTTAAAGGCATGCATCAAAAAACAAAAAATGGAAATCTTAAGAATAAACTAAATATCTAAAATCCAGATTTAAATATTAAAAACAATTTTAAAAGTGAACGCACAACTGACATATTTTTTGTTAGCAATTCACGAGTAGCTATGCAACCTTGATCTTCCACTTGATATTTTTTTTAAGCTTAGATAAAAAAAATTTTTTAACTTAGATAAAAAAAATAGAATACTAAATTATTAACATTCTATAAAAAAAATCATATTGCAGCTAAAGACCAAAGAAAAAATATAAAAACATGAAGAAAAACATAGAACACGGCTAATATAAGCTTCGTCCTCGTATGATGACCATAGACAAGGCTCTAAACATCCAGGACCAGTACCCAAAATTTTAGTTAGGTAGCATTTGATTCACACAAAAAATGAGCTTCCAGTATGGAAAATTAAAATCCTTACACAAACACTACATAGAACACGCTAATATAAGCTTCTCTTCAATAAGCATTGTCATCTTCAACTCCTGCTTTCTCCTTATCATCCTCTTTTTCTGAACCTTCGTCATCATCTCCATTTTCTTCCTTCTCAGCACCAACTTCATCCTCGTCCTCATCCTCATCCTCGTCCTAGTCCTCGTTCTCCTCATCGTCGTCCTCCTCCTCCTCGTCCTCAGGATAAACATGACCGAGTTCCTTATCGAATTCTCTTCCTTCTATCCTCCTTCGCTTTCTAGCAGCCTCTTCGTCACTACTCGACCCTCCTTCGTAGTCATCCTGACCAGCGTAGTCCTCTCCTTTTTCTAAATCTGGATAAGGATCATCAAGATCAAATTCTCCATACATTGGTTTTGAATAGTGGTTTTTAGAGAGAGTGTTTAGCAAAGTGTTGCTTCGAGCGAGGATTAGCAATGAAGCGAGGGGTCTATATATATATATATATATAAAAAGAGCTTAGGAATACCAAATTCCTCCTATCCCTTTTTTCATACATGTGTGTATGTATATATATATGTGTGTGTGTGTGTGTGTGTGTGTGTATGTATTAAGTCTAACATAAATGTGTACTAAAGTACCATAGATGATAGCTGTCTACGTTTACTTTGCATGAAAGAGAAGGATAGAAAGGGAACACCATTTTGAAATTAAAAAGGGAATTCTCTAGCACGCAGAGAACACAAAAATGGTGATATTATTCGTGACACCAACTTATCGTTTTATATTTTTTTCACAATAAAGAACATAAGCTACAAAGGTTTTTTTCAAGATGTACAACTCGAATTATAAAAGAAAAAGGCAAAATGTCTTTAAAATCCTCCAAGACAACAATATTGAATTTGCCTATGCGGCGAAGGGATGACTTTATCTATTTCCTAAGCAACGAGTGGATCAATTTTTTATTTTTTGCATGACAAGCATACATCTTTTTCTATTTTTTTCTTTACTCTAGCCCGCAGGATGTTCTATCATAATCTATTAAGTATGTTGAGATGTGTACTAAGGTACCATACATTGGTTTTGAATAGTGGTTTTGAGAGAGAGTGTTTAGCGAGTGTTGCTTCAAGCGAGGATTAGCAACGAAGCGAGGGGTCTATACATACATATATATATAAAGAGCTTAGGAATACCAAATTCCTCCTATTCCTTTTTTCATACATGTGTGTGTGTATATATATATATATTTGTGTGTGTGTGTGTGTGTGTGTGTGTGTGTGTGTGTGTGTGTATGTATTAGGTCTAACATAAACGTGTATTAAGGTACCGTAGATGATAGCTGTCTACGTCTACTTTGCATGAAAGAGAAGGATAGAAAGGGAACACCGTTTTGAAATTAAAAAGGGAATTCTCTAGCACGCAGAGAACACAAAAATGGTGATATTATTCGTGACATCAACTTATCGTTTTATATTTTTTTCACAATAAAGAACATAAGCTACAAAGGTTTTTTTCAAGATGTACAACTCGAATTATAAAAAAAGAAGGCAAAATGTCTTTAAAATCCTCCAAGACAACAATGCTGAATTTGCCTATACGACGAAGGGATGACTTTATCTATTTCCTAGGCAACGAGTGGATCAATTTTTTATTTTTTGCATGACAAGCATACATCTTTTTCTATTTTTTTCTTTACTCTAGCCCGCAGGATGTTCTATCATAATCTATTAAGTATGTTGAGATGTGTACTAAGGTACCATACATTGGTTTTGAATAGTGGTTTTGAGAGATAGTGTTTAGCGAGTGTTGCTTCGAGCGAGGATTAGCAACAAAGCGAGGGGTCTATATATATATATATAAAGAGCTTAGGAATACCAAATTCCTCCTATTCCTTTTTTCATACATGTGTGTGTATATATATATTTATGTGTGTGTGTGTGTGTGTGTGTGTATGTATGTATTAAGTCTAACATAAATGTGTATTAAGGTACCATAGCCGATAGTCTGTCTACGTCTACTTTGCATGAAAGAGAAGGATAGAAAGGGAACGTCGTTTTGAAATTAAAAAAAGGAATTCTCTAGCACGCAGAGAACACATAAATGGTGATATTATTCTTGACACCAACTTATAGTTTTATATTTTTTTCACGATTAAGAATATAAGCTATAAAGGTTTTTTTCAAGATGTACAACTCAAATTATAAACAAAAAAAAAAAAGGCAAAATGTCTTTAAAATCCTCCAAGACAACAATGCTGAATTTGCCTATGCGACGAAAGGATGACTTTATCTATTTCCTAGGCAACGAGTGGATGAATTTTTTATTTTTTGCATGACAAGCATACATCTTTTTTTATTTTTTTCTTTATCGAGCCCGCATGATGTTCTATCATAATCTATTAAGCATGTTGAGATGGAATTGAAAGGTAATACTTACATGATGTGTACTTGATATTTATTTATTTATATGTGTGATGAAATTCTAAATGATTGAACCTTTTGTTTTTTGCATAGTAGGTTTTCTTTTGCTTCTTTTATCTTGTAGTGTCTCTAGGATTTTACCTTTTGAAAAAGGTTCGGGATGATGGATTGATCATTAAACTTGGTGACAAAATCTTCAATCTTGATATCACAAGACTCGGTTTGAATATGTACGCATCCGAGTGTATTATCCGGATGGGTGGTTCCCGATGTCATTTGGTCGGCTTGTTTTCTATTATCACCTTTTAAACTTTATAGTTGTATGTTTGCCTTGACTTCTATGGCTTTTTTAGTTGTTATTTTGGAGTTTTTGGACTGTCTTAGTGGCCACAATTGATGAAAAACTGAAAATTTCAACTCATAGGGGATAGATTGTTAGAAACAAAGTATTATAGAGGGTGAGAAAGGGATTGCGAGCATGATCGGACTTAATGACTATTTTTTCTATATTAAATCATTATTAATTTGATAATACTTTAATATATTAATATATATAATTTATCCCACACATTATAATATTTTAAAAAATTAATTAAATAATTGATTTTTAATAATCAAATATTATTATATACCAATATAATTATTATTTTCATATTAATCATAATCATAATAGAATTAATTTAATATTATAATTTATTATTAATATTTACATATTTTATCAAGAATATTATTGATACCTATATTCAAATATATCAAATTATATAGTTTTTATTTAAGAGATTATTATAGTAATAATAATATTATATGATAATAAACCTATCAATTTAGAAGAGGTTATAATTATAATTATAAACCAATAAATAATATAAGAATATACCAATGATAATATTTAATAGTAGTATTGTAATTATATAATTAATATAATATGATAAATAGGATTAATTTAAATATTATAAATATATTCATTTCATATTCATTTTATTGTATACTATCATTAAATAACTATTGATAGAATATTAAGATCTACCTTCTTTTTATGTAGTTTTATATTATATGTTAATAATCATAACATATTATTATTAATATTTATCAATATTTTTAAATAATTACTATTTAACATAAATATAATTATTTTAGAAGAATAATTAAACTATAGATATGTCATTATAGGTTTATAACTTATATATTATGATAATATTTGATCATGAACGGATTGATTCTGTCATTAGAATGAGTGCTATAGATCTCTCTCTTAAGTTGAATAGTTGAAACAAATCTATCCAATTTGGGAAAAAAAGAAGAAGATATGTTTTAAGGTAAGATTTCCTCAACAATGCAAAAGAAAAAAAAATCAATTTAAAGAAATTTTGCTTAACTAGATGCATATTAGGAGAAAATCTTTTCACTAGCTAATTGAATAGTTTAGGTCTATACAAAACTACAAAAGTACTCCAAAAATGCAGAATCGATTATCCAATGACTTTTCCAAGTACATTTTCCATTATTTACATTTAACTATGAGTTTGCTCAAATTTCTATTTATTTTTTGTTTCGTTGATTCCATATCCTCCAAGTGGAAGGGCTATTGGCACAACAATGTTTTAAAACCAACACTAGATAGAAGTTGCACAGGGACAACTATTTTCTTAATACTACTACTAATACATACATATAATAGACTAACAACCACACACTAATAAAAACTTTTTCTTCAATCATCCACACCAACCATGCCATCCTTATCATCGTTTTCTTTTTTGGCATTGTCATCTTTTTCTGTCGCTTTCTTCTCATCATCATTGTCATCCTCTTTAGGACCATTTTTTTTCTAAATTTTCACCTCCATCTTCATACTCCTTAGGACCAACTTGTTCTGAATCTTCATTTCCATCTCGCATCTCCATCTTCAATATCTTCATCTTCATCTTCAAGCTTTGTTTTTTTCTTTTCTACTACGCTTAGCAGCCTTTTTCTTCTTCGACTTCTTCACTAGGCCACCCCGCTTCATAGCTATCCCGACCAAAATAATCTTCTCCTTTATCTAAATCAATATTAGGTATGTCATAATCATTTTCTTCAAACATATGGACCTTATTTTTTTTCTATTTGAGTATATAATATTTTTTAAAACTATCAATCAAATACTTTCGTAGATTTTTTTATTAACTAATAATGTATTTGTTATCTTCATAACACCAAATTATAGCTTTGTTTTATTTTCACAATCCGAACATAAGCTATAAAGGTTTTTTTCAATATGCACAACTCGGACTATAACAAAGAAAAAAATGCAAAAGGTCTTCAAAATCCTCCAAGACAACAATGTTAGATTTACCTACGCGATGAAGGGATGACTTTATCTATTTCCTAGACAACGAGTGGATGACTTTTTTATTTTTTGTATGACAAGTAGACAATTTTGTCTATTCCTTTTTTCTTTACTTCAGCTTGTATAAGGTTCTTTGCAAATCTTTTTTTCTATAATTTTTTTGTTGCTACCGAAGTTCAAAATCATTTATGAACGGATTGATTCTACCATTAGAATGAGTGCTATAGATCTCTCTCTTAAGTTGAATAATTAAAAAAAATCTATCCCATTTGGAGGAAAAAAAGTATGTTTTAAGTCAAGATTTCCTTAGCAATGCTAAAAAAATCAATCTAAAGAAACTTTGCTTAACTAAATGCATATTGGGAGAAAATCTTTTTAGTAGCTAATGAATTGTTTACATCTATACAAAACTCGTAAAAGTACTCCAAAAATGCAGAATTGATTGTCCAATGACTTTTCCAAGCACATTTTCCATTGTTTATGTCTAACCATGAGTTTTCTTGAATTTCTATTTATTTTTTGTTTTGTTGATTCCATATCCTTCAGTGGAAAGGCTATTGGCACAACAATATCTTAACATCAACACTAAATAGAAGTTGTACATGGACAACTATTTTCTTGATACTACTATATATATATATATATATATATATATATATATATATATATATATATATATATATATATATATATATGGTTGTCTACATTACGGACTAACAATCACACGAGTAATAAAAACTTCTTCTTCAATCATCCACACCAACCATGCCATCCTTATCATCATCTTCTTCTTTGGCACTCGTCATCTTTATCCGCAACGTTCTCTTCATCATCATTGTCATCCTCCTTAGGACCATCTTTTTCTAAATCTTCATCTCCATCTCCATCTTCATTTTTAGTATCTTCATCTTTAAGCTTTGCTTCTTCTTTTCTCCTACGCGTAGCAGCCTTTTTCTTCTTAAGTTTCTTCACTAGGACACCATGCTTCATACTTATCTTGACCAAAATAATCTTCTCTTTTTTGGAATCGAGATCGAGTACATCATAATAATTGTCTTCGGACATTGGTTTTGAGAAAGTATTGGTAAAGGAAGAGTTGTTTTGAGAGAGTATTAGCAAAGGAAGCGAAGGGTTTAAAAAAAAAAAAGACCTTGGGATTCATCTAACACTTATGGGTTGATAGGGGTCAATAAAGTTTATTCGCTCCGCAAATTTTCTAAGATTGAAAGTTAGATAATTGCACCGAGTATATTAATTTTTAACTTTTTTAATAGAGTATATGAATTTTTTTCGATTGAATATACTAATTTTTTTTAAAAAAACTATATATCAATCAAGTACTCTCCTTAATTTTTTCGTTAACCGATAACTTGTCCATTATCTTCATAATACTAAATTACAATTTTATCCTTTTTTTCTCAATTAAGGGCAAGAGTTTTAATTTTTTGTACATTTGAATACATCAATTTTTTAAAAATGTCAATCAAATTTTTCTATCAATTTCTTTGTTAATGTGTTCGAATACAAAACTATAATTTTACTTTCTTTTTTAAGGAAACTTTCTTGCTATATTATTTTATCATTTTAAAATTTGATAAAAAAATAAAAAATATTTTTTTTAGATATAAAATTCTAAACTAAATTAAGTTAGATTGCTCTTAAAAAAAATCAGCTAGGCTTAGGAGTGAAAATTGAAGAAAAACACAAGTGAATCTTCTTGATGAAAAATTTCACGTTTGTGTTTCGATCAACTTTTACGTTCAAAATCTAACTGAATTTTTTTCTTTAATTAACAACAAGTCTAACCGAGTTTAGTTCATAATTTATAACTAAAAATAACTCTTTTTTAATTCTTTATTAAATTTTAAAATAGCATAATAATTTGGGAAAAAAGTTCCTTACAACAAAAGAAAAAAATAATATTATAGTTCGAATTGTTTTAATTGAAGTCTTATATTGTTTATATTGATTGAGTTTCTCTATTTTTTATTTTGTTATGTTACCGTTCTTTTATTATAACATCATTTAATTGTAAGCTAACATGGCACATTACACTTCTAAATGCATGCCACATATCATATGTGAGACCTAAATAGAGAGATTCAATCAATACAAAAAAAAACTATGAGGCTTCAATCAAAATAATTCAAAAGGTATAAAAATTATTTTTTTTCTTTTTCACTTTTTTGTTATAGTTTTTTTAACATCTCATCCTGAATGCGCCAAATGAGTCAAATATGCAATCCTATTATAGTAAAAATATAGAGAGAAATAATCACATCCATGATCAATTAATTGAAAAAATAATGAGGGACTAAATTGTATTTATTATAAAATATGCTGAACAAAAACGTTTTCAGTTAAAAGACTTTTTTGTAAGAAAAATAAAATACGAGGACCAAAGACAATTTAAAAAAAATAGAAACCAAAATGGATATCAACGAAAAATTCTATTCTGTGAAGATGATCAAGTAGACTCAGACGTTACTCGTTGTCTTGTAAAACATTGACTAACACAGTTTTTATTCTCTAGTTAAAGTAAACACAAATTTTACTGGTCATGGTTCTGATGAAAAGGTGTCAAGGGCCAGTCTTGATGGTTTAGTACAACTGCAGACGAGACAGTGATGGTCTTTGGAATTCTTTTCCTGTTACATGTCCCTTCAAGGTTCTTCTAATTTTTTTTTCATGTTTCCATTTTTTTTTTAAGTGACAAAAACATCATCTTTTATTTTATATAAAAACCTATACTCATTCTATATGCAATTTCTATTAACACAATGGCCTCTTTCTTTTATTTATTTATTTTTATTTTTTTTTAATGAAATCTGCAAGTCATGTTGATCTTTTCTATTATGTGTTTCCATCTTATGTTTTTTTTCTTCTATATTGTTGATCATGCAAAACATTAACATTATGAACAAAATCACTTGTTCATCGATATTTTAAATTACATAAAAATATATTAAAATTAATTACTGATTTTATAAGAAATAAAAGCTGAATAAATAACCATATTTATGGAAAATTTACCATTTTTTTAGAAATTTGTTTGTTTGAACTTTTTTTTTTAATTTTTAAAATGAAAAATATTTTTTTAAAATTTACCAAATGAGCACATTTTCTACATTATTTATAGAAAATAAATATTAGAAATGTATTAAAAAATCAGAAATAGAAAATAAAAAAATTATTGTCTACAACTAAGAGGCCCTCAGTTTTTCTAGAATTTTCAAAATCCAACGCTTGTTGATCCATACTAGCATGATAGAGCCCAAAATTTAGCTTACGGGGCAAAAATTTAATTGAAATGTGGAGAAAAATAAAAGTTAGATAAATAAATCATTGATCGATGATTAAAGGTGTCCAAATGAAAAAAAAAATTTAAGAATCCATTAAACATTAAATATGAGATCTTATTAATGCTAAACATTCATAAAAATTATAATAATAATACTAAAGCAAAGAAATATATGGAATTCTTACTAAATTTTCCTTTTCACTGTTCCCTTAATTATCTTGAATTTGTGCTCCACGTTCTTTCATCATTAAAAACTCATCAAATTTGAAATTAATATAATCAAATTTAGGCAATTTCTTCTTCAATAAGAGTACAGATTAATAGTTTTATGATTGTTCCAAGAATTGGTATAATTTTGTTAACAATTTGCAATTCCAAATGTTATCAAATAAATATATTAAATCTAACATACTTCAGTTAATATATATCATAATTGCAATCTTTCTTGATCTATAAAAATTTATTTTCAAACTTGTAAATATCACCAATACTTTGTTTTTTTTTTTTTTTTGTTGAGAGATGACATTAATTGCTATAGGGAAGAATTCAGTTTCATCTATGAGGTCTCAATTATATCAATATCTTCTCTTACATTCAATGGTCCTTCTAAAATTTCAATTACGTATCAATATTCTCTTTTAAGTTATCCAGACCAACATAAAAATAATTTTTCAGTCCCTAAACTTTTAAAATTTGATCAAATAAAACCCTTTTAAAATAATTTGATAAGATCAAATCTTTCATTGTAATTAAAAGATCCAAATAATACGATCTAAATTATTTATATTTAAAAATACAAGAGACAAATGGTAATAAAAAATTTAACATGTAAAGACCTGATAGCATAAATTTTATAATTTAATGACCAAAATGTTATTTTGAAAACTTTGATGGCTAAATAACTTATAAATAAATGACAAAATTTTCTATAAAAAATAATTCTAAGGACCAAAATTACGTTATTTATCAATTACAATGATCAAAATGAAAGATTTTGACAATTTTATTAAATGGGTATAAAATAATAAGGTAAATCATGAATGAGTTTAGAAGATAATTTCTTAATATTTATTGTGAGAAGCAATATTGAAACAAATTGAAATCACTTTAGGGCAATAAAAAAAATAGCAATAAAAGTATGGAAGTTATTGGAAAAAAATCAATATATTTTTTGAATTCTACTCTAATGGTACATAGAGAATAAACACAATATGGTATCTTCCAAAAAAATGAATGATTTTTTACAAACCTACTATTTAAAAGATATAAAGTAAACATTAGAGAATATAAAATATAGAAAGTTTAATTAGGAAATTAGAGATTAAAAAAATAAAAATAAAAAAGACTTTTGTAATTTATTTCATTTACTCCATCAGTCCCACGGATTCTTGTTAGTTCCTTTCGAGCTGTCTGTTTCTCGTTGATTACTTTTTAAGTTGCAAAGAGTTCGTTACTTGCTCGATAGAAATTAATACCGCAACCAACCACAAGCCAAACCTAATCACTATAGATTAATTTTTTAATTTATCGTCCGGAGGCTAGAAAAGAATCCAGTTTCATACCTAATTAAGATTTTAATTGTATCAATTTCCTTTCTAAAGATTTAATTGTATGTCAATGTTCTGAAATATCAATTATGTATTAACATTCTCTTTCAAGTTACCCAAATTAACATATGTTCGTAAACTTTTGAAATTTGATCAGATAAAATCATCTTAAAATAATTTGATAAGATCAAATCTTTCACTCCAATTAAAAGGTTCAAATGATATAATATAAATTATTTATATTTAAAAATATAAGATATCATGTTAATAAAAAAAAAAAATTCAACATGTAGAGATATGATTCCAAAAAACTTCAAAATATAGGGATTGAAATGATATATTGAAAAAATTTTACAGGCAAAAAACTTCTAAATAAAGGACTAAATTTTGTATACAAATATAATTTAAGGACCAAACTAATTTTTTAACATTAAAAGGACCAAAATGATTTTTTGACAATTTTTTTCTTAATTAGTATTGAATGCTTGCTAAATGGCTAGGCAAACCGGGTATGAATTTAGAGAGTAAATATCATGGCATGTGCCTATAAAAAACAGAGAAGAGTTGATCTTAGTAGCAGGTTCAGGAGATTTGGGTTGAAGGGAAGAAGGGAATTGAGAGATGGGAGTAATCTGTGGTTTTGATCCCGGAAAAGTTAGGAACGGGTGAAAAAAATGTTTTGGTGAAGGGGTGTTGGTCTGGCTAAGTGAGAGTGGCAGATGAACAGACTGGGCTTCTGACCAACCCAAGCCCGAGAGAAGATGAAAGGCTGGCCTGCCCATCAGGCCTAGCTAGCCCAATGGGCTGAGATCCCACTGACTCCAAAAAAGCGCAATACTCTAATTTTAGCTTCTTTTCAGATAAATTAATCCTGCAATTCTTTTTATACATTCTTTTTAATTTTATGCTTGATTTAAATTTAATATTTTAAATTGGTTTAGTCAATATTTAATTTTAGAATTTAGTTCAATAATTAAATTTGTATGTCAGCAGCAGGGGATGGAGCTGTTTTGAGAACCTAACTAAACCCATCAAAAAGGATAGCAGTTCACTAGAAATAATTAATGAAGTCAACTTTGTGATTGTGAAACTTTCTCACTATTCTAATACACATAGGTTTGTAAATGACCCATTACTTCTATCAGCAAAAGAGCAAGGCCAGCGCTTAAGTTTCTAGCCTAGCGAAACGAGGATTTATTCCCCGAGGATCATCCGGG